CCTGTGGGCTCAGGCAATCCACTCACCTCAGCCTCCCAAGGTGCAGGATTACAGGCCGAGCCACCGAGCCCGGCAGTTAATATTCTTAACAGAGCATAAAGTGAGAAGAAACATGCTTAGACTCTGGCTGGGTTCAGTGCCTTATGTCTGAGATGACAAACTCAAAACAGGAAAAAAAAGGAAAAAGTGCTTAGAGTTAAATTCTCAGTAAATATGAAAGACGGTTTATTCTTACTGGTAATGAAAGAATTTAGGGGTAAAATATTAAACAAAGCAAGAAATTTATTTAAAAAAAAGCCAGTCAATGCTAGAGAAGGTAATATATTTAGATACTCTCATTAGTGCTAGCAATGTAAACTGGTATAATATTTTTTGGGAATGTGATTTGCATGCAAAGACTTAAAACAGTCAATTTTAGAATTTAGCCTAATGAAATATTTGTAATAGATATAAACTAAGAAAAAAACATTGGCCGGGCTCTGTGGCTCAGCCTGCAATCCCAGAGCTTTGGGAGGCCGAGGTGAGTGGATTGCCTGAGCCCGCGGGTTGGAGACCCGCCTGGGCAACTTGGTGAGACCTCATCTTTACAACAAATCAAAAATTAGCTGGGTGTGGTAGTGCGTACCTGTAGGTCCAGCTACTTGGAAGGCTGAGGCAGGATTGTCGGAGCCCAGCAGGTCGAGGCTGCAGTGGCCAGGGGCCGCCACTGCACTTCAGTCTGGGTGACAGAGTGAGACTGCAACTCAAAAAAAAAAAAGCAAAAGCTGGGCTCGGTGGCTCAGCCTGTGATCCCAGGGCTTTGGGAGGCTGAGGTGAGTGGATTGCCTGAGCCCGCGGGTTCAAGACCTGCCTGGGCAACTTGGTGAGCCCTCATCTCTACAATAAATTAAAAAAAAATGAGCTGGGCGTGGTAGCGGGCGCCTGTAGTTCCAGCTACTTGGAAGGCTGAGGCGGAAGGATCGCCGGAGCCAGTAGGTCGAGGCTGCGGTGGCCAGGAGCGGCCACTGCACTCCAGTCTAGGCGACAGAGTGAGACTCCAACTCAAAAAAAAAAAGAAAGAAAAAGAAAAAAACATCTAAGTATACATATGATAAAGGATGATTAAATTAAGGTTTGTCTTGATGATACCATTTAACAGGCTGTATATTTAGCCCTTATTAACATGTTAATAGTGTTTTAATTTTTAGTTTCATGAGGCCAGGAATGGTGGTTCATGGACTGGGTGTGATGACTAACACCTATAATCCCAGCAGTTTGGGAGGCTAAGGCAGGAGGATTCCTTGAGCCCAGGAGTTCGAGACCAGCCTAGGTATCAAAGTGAGACCTCATCTCTACAAAAAATAAAAAAATTAGCTAGGCGTGGTGGCGTGGGCCTGTAGTCATAATTACTCAGGAGGCCGAGGCAGGAGTATCTCTCGAGCCCAAGAGGTCAAGGCTATGGTCAGCCATGATTGTGCCACTGCACTCAAGCCTGGGTGACGGAGTGAGCCCACACCTCAAAAAAAAAAAAAAAAAAAGATTAGAAAAAAAAAGTTTCATGAAAATACTATCCTTATCTAGCTTTTTTTACTCTTGTATCTCTATGGCACCGAATAAGACCTAGCACATAAATGTTTAATCAATATTTGCTAAATAAATGAAAAAGTAGTGTTAAGTAGAAATAATATATTGTGAAATGTGATTTGTGAAAAATCTGTATACAAAAGAAGTACACACGATCAAATGGCAAAAGAGGTCACCGGTAAATTTTAAAACGCTTTATTGAGGTATATTTTGACATACCTTAAATTCACCCATTATATGTGTACAGTTCAATTACTTCATTTATATAATTGTGCAATTATCACCATAATTCAGTATCATGGTCAATATTTGTTTTCTTATTTGATCTTTTCTATATTATAAGGAAAGAACTATTGAAAGGTTGCTTCACTAACAGCTGGGTGGAGAGGACCTAGAAAATTACTATCTAATCATCTGAGTGTACTTCTTCAATTTGATACATGCATCTTTCTAGAGCGAAATGGATTTTAAAAGTAGCAGAAAGTTCCTTTGCTGTCATTAGAAATGAACTTTAAGGATCGAACAGGCAACAATATAGCATAGATTCTGTTTGGTGTACTATACAATGAGATCATTATTCTTGATCCTTTTGCAAATAAAAAGGGTCCACAGAATAACGAGTACAGGTGCAGTTCCCAGCGGAAATAAGGGGACTGAATGGAAACAACGGCGAGCTACTGCTTTTCTCCTCAATCCTGTTAGCGGAGCGTGGAGTATGCGAGCTGCAGATGTCTCCCAAACCACCTGGAAAGTCGGCCTCTCCTCTCCCCTGCGTGTGGAGGGGGTTCAGAGAAAGGGCGCTACAACAGAAAACCCTTGGAGAAGCGGGCTGGGATCGATCAGCACCTGAATTCCCTTCACAGCCCGGGCTCCCAGCGCCCTGCCCACGGCCTCCTACCTGCAGAGAAGCAGAGCAGAGACACCCTGTGCCTTAGACGAGCCAAGCCTAGCACTGTGGGAGCAAAGAACATGGCTTCGTCGTCAGGGTGTGCGATGACCAGGAGGGTCCGGCTTCCGGCTCCCAGCAGGCCTGCCTGCTCCCGACTCTTCAATCGCTCTGAGGCGTCCCAAACCCAGAAGAAGCCCCACGCCAAGACCGCCGCCGCCACACACAGGAGACCCACTGCTTCCATATTGGGTAAGTGGCATTGCGCTTGCGCAGTAGGAAACGGCGCCGCTGACCCTGACTCCGGCGGGAAAACTGCACCCGCTGACATTAGATTCCGCGTTTGTCTGTGTGGCGTACCCGGGCGGGAGGCTTAATGCAAGTAGAGCTTATTTTGTGGTCTAACGCAGAAGCCTCCCTCGTGCCGTCGTTTTCTACCCTAGTCCTACCTTACAATTCAGTAGGTTTAAAAGACAGCGTTTTAAAATAAACTCCCACTTCTTGTAGGAGTTCCCTCCTTTTCAACTCGTCATTTTCTAACTCATTTCTTGAAACCTGGGCCTTTGACGTAGTTATGCCTTTAGACAGTCCTTTATCTAGATGAGTTTTGCAAAACGGCCAGATACACCAACTTTGTTTTCCCTTCTCTATTTTGGGTGACCTTTCTAAAGGAAAAGTATGCGAATTCAAGGAACCGCTCAGTCATTTCTCTAGAAGAGAAAGGCCGAGAGTGCACTTCACAGTCGCGAGTGCCACAGGCTCCGACATCGTGGACAAATCGGGCTCGCCCGGCGTTTCAGTGAGGTCTTGGTGCGAATCCCAGCCGACCTGGAAAGTAACCGCAGTAGGTCGACGTGCACCCCTCCGGCTCCCAGCCACGTGGGGAACCAGGCTTCCTTCCCCGTAGCCCGAGCTAGAGGAGGCCGCCGCCGTCCCGCCGCGCCGCTGAGGGGTCGTAGGGCACTGCCTGGCGCCTTTCCCACGCCCGGGGAAGGCCCCGAGCGCGGGAGCGGGCTGGCTGGCG